CGATACACTACTATCGCTTTATTAGTTTGTCCTTATGCAAAAATATTCTTAACTACATGATTGTGCAACTACGTTGCTAATGAGATAAATTTATTCATAATATGTAAAAACGTTAAAATGGCTCATTTCTGCTGACTTCACATATGGTTCACTATTGGTAGGATAGTTTATAGCGAAATCCGGTGTTATTCGTGATGGCGGTGATGATGACGATGACGACGATGATGTTGATGGTGATATTGATGATGATGATAATGATGATGATGACGATGACGATTATGACGACGACGACGACGATGATGATGATGTAATTAATAGTGGTGATGATGATAATGATAATGATGATGATAATGATGATGATGATGATGATGATGATGATGATGATGATGATGATGATGATGATGATGATGATGATGATGATTACGGATATAATTATCTACCACGATATTTTATATACCACGATGGTCATAGTGATACTGCGATACTGATGAGGATGCTGCTGCTGCTGTTGCTGTTGCTGCTGCTGCTGTTACTGTTTTTGCTGCTGCTACTGTTGTTATTGTTGTTGTTACCGTCATTGTCGTCGTTGCAGTTGTTGCTGCTGCTGCTGTTGTTGCTGTACATTATGATAATCTTCAATATCAGCATCCTCATCACAATTAATCCCGTACCTATAAACGGCGGGCGCTGGCTGGCAGCTGAAGCATGCAGGTTTAACCATAATGAAGGCTGACACTGTCTCCCAGCTGACTGCGGGGTCCGGAGTGCACCGGCAGGGAATCCACGACGACGGGAACAAAGCGGATCTCTCCGTTGTTGTTCCTCTCGAATGCGTAGCCAGTTCCCCGTGTCTCCTCCCCCTCTCCCCCGACTCTCTGCGTGAACTGCTGGGAGGCTTCCTGGTTAGCGGTGCGGGTAGAGGAGACCTCCGCGCCGGACTCCCCTCCTCCAGCGCCTTCTCTCACGAGCGAGCTCATCTCTGTCTGGCTGGCGGATCCAGATCGGAATCTACGTCCGATGACGATCTGCTCGGTCTGGGCGGCGTTAAGGGCCTCACGGGGAGCGGCGGCGTGCGCGGCGTTCCTCCATCCGTTAAAGTCGAAATCTTCTATGTTGACGTAGAGGTGGCCGAAGTTGTCGTAGCCGAAGGCGCTGGCGTCGATGTTGGCGAAGTTGTTGATGTCGACGGAGTTGTCGCCACCAAAAGCTTAAGAAAGACGACAACATAAAAATCAATTAATCAATTAGCCAATTATCATTAAACAATTAATGATTTATGGTAATATAATAATTATAAAAGATTTATTATTAAAGACGACGAATCTCGCGTCATAATACCGTTACTCACCGGAAGCCGCGAGAAGCACCGCATTTCCGCCAGAAGTAGACCTACTGCTGCCGACGTTGCCGCGACGTGCGGCCGTCCCGCGAGATCCCACACGCCCTCCATATCCTCGACCTCCTCCGATGCTCCCCCGGGAAGCTCTAACACCTCCTCCTATATGTGAGTAGTCGATCGCACCAGCAGCTCTAGTGGAGGAGGAGGAGGAGGAGGAAGAGGAGGGGAAGGAGGAGGAGGGGAGAGAGGAAGAGAAGGAGGAGGAGGAGGAGGGGAAGGAGGAGGAGGAGGAAGAGGAAGAGGAGAAGGAGGAGGAAGGGAGGGGCGAAGAGAAGGAGGGGAAGGAGGAGGAGGAGGAGGTTCTAGCAGCAGCAGCGCCTCCTCTGTTAACAGTGGACACTTGACCGCTTCCACGACCACCTGTGCTGACCACAGCAGTCACATCGTGTCCGTGTCCACTATCAATTCCAAGGTGACCTCCAGCGATGAGCCCGCTATATCCATCATCTCTATATATCTGTCCGCCTCCAAGGTCGCCTATGTTTGTGGCTGCGACCTGCGTGTTGTCGTAGGTGACCTTGAGATCACCTCCAAGATTGCCTCCACTGAATCGACTAGCAGTATTGGCTTGGCCACCAGAGATCCGAGTCCTTGCGGCCTGTCCACGTTCTAGGTAGCTTCTGGAGTCGGTCTCGGGTTCAGCAGATATGGTGGCGATCCTTGTTCCGATGTTGACGGTTCCATCTTGCCCAAGAGCGCTGCCAAGATCAACCGCGCGTCCTATAAAACTGATGCTGCTGCCACCTATGATTCTGCCGCCGCTGCTGCTGCCACCTGTGATTCTGCCGCTGCTGCTGCCACCTGTGAATCTGCCGCTGCCGCTGCTGCTACCTCCGTATCCGCCGGTCCCGAAAATCCCTGCGTGCTGGTCCTCGGTTCCGGTAACGTACACGCTTAGTCTTCCGCCGCCGTCGCTGCCGCCTACGGATGGTACACCTGCCGTGTGGACGGTGGCGCCGTCTACACGAGAACCCGTCCCAGCTGCTTCCAGAACGACCATATCAATGTCGGCTACTCTGCTAGCGGCACGCACCGTGCTTGTGGCAGCGAGTTGTCCCTCGTCGTGGGCAGATCTGAGAGCACCGCCATTACTACCTACACGGAATCGATAAGATCTGTAGATCCGTCCAGCTAGATCGCTTGCGGGGTCTGCGCTTGTGTCAGTGACCTTTCCATAGTCGAGTGTGCCTCTCTGGGCACCTCCGAAACTGCCTACACTCGTGAATCGACTGGATCTGTTGGGTTGGCCGCTGGGGACGTGGGTTCCAGTGACTTGACCATGTACTCGGTAGCTTCTGGAGTCGGGCTCGAGTTTGGCAGACATGGTGGCGATACTTGTTCCGATGTTGACGCTTCCATCTTCTCCAAGTGCACTGCCAAGATCAACCGCACGTCCTATACCGCTACTGCTGCTGCTGTCACCTATAATACTGCGGCCGCTGCTGCTGCCATCTGTCATACTGCCTAGGTAACTGCCATCACCACTGCCGCTGTGGAAGCTGTAGTCCGAGCCGTAGTTGCCTTGGCCGATGGTGGCGCCTCTGTAAGCGGGTTCCGACAGAATCGGTGCAGTCAGGATACCGAGCAAGATGGCGGCCACGGTGACGCTCATCTACGTGTAACAGAAGAGGTTGTTAGCAGTTTTCTCTCTCTCTCTCTCTCTCTCTCTCTCTCTCTCTCTCTGTCTCTCTCTCTCTCTCTCT